CTGAAGATCCTTCCTTTCTGTCTGAACCTTGGTACGCAATTAAAAGTAATAATTTCAAAAGCAATTTAGGTGGCAGTGAAAGCAGGCAGGAAAACCTACTGAGTTGTTTTTTTTTAATATGTAACATTATTTTACTCCTGGAAAGCAGCATTTCCCGGGGGAGAGCACTGCTTGGGGATGCAGGGCTCCTGCGTTCCCCTAGCCTTGCAGGTGGGTAGGTCATCTCACCTGTCTCGGCTCCATTTTCCCCAATAATAAAAATTACATTCTTTTTATATTTTCTATTAATATAGAAAAAGAAAGCACTTTGAAATCAACAGCAGTGAGTGACAAAACCACGCACCCCAAGCCGTCGAGAACTTCGCATCCCGCTCTGGGACAGCTGGGCTGCAGCAGCACAACCGCTCTAGCACCAACACACATCCCACCCGGCGGAGGAAGGACTGATTACATCTGCATTAATGACCCTCTTCTCCAACCCACCCAGAGTAGGTGGTGGTAATGGATGATAACTTGAATGAGAGCCAGACTTTAATTTTCCAGATGGCTGAGTAATAAAAGGTTGATGGGAACATGAAATGGATTGGTCACATCCAGGGCAGTCTCCAAAGAGTAAATTTTCCCCAGTCTATGACTTACGAGGTGCCAATAGCAGCCAGAGACCCCAGGGGGATGTTGGTAGCAGGCTTCTGGAGATCTCCGCTCATATTGAACCCAGCCATCACACCTGTATTTTGTAGACATAAACGCAATTTAGAGTTAATCTAAGTAATAACATCTATAATACATAGTATAATATTAATATAATTTAATCAATCAGTTAATTGATTGCTTCAGAACAGTAACTATATCACTTCATTGCACTTCCACACACACGAATACTGGCTCCCATCGATTGCTTGGTACGAAACTGTTCACGTCTTTAACAGAAGCAAGCCACCACTAACGCGTCTACAAAGAACCCTCTATCCAGTTTGAACAAAGCTGGGGTGGGGGGGGAGCAGAAATCTGAACAAAACCCATCTTATCTTAATGCAAACCTCACAGAAGACAGTGCTGTCCAATTGTCAAAAAGAAAAATGCTACTGTTCATCACGGCAGCGCATTCAGCAGGTGGTACTACCCCCCAGACCAGATCTATTACAGCTCCCTGCATTCATGGGGGACAACCGCCGTTACAAAACGGCCTGTCCTGTCCGTGTTTAATGACGATCACATGCGCATTTAGCAGGGGGAATAACAGTGCTCAGCACGTAGGTGGCACCTTCCAGCCAAGGGATCTGCTTTGGAAGTAGGCATTATCTCTACTTTGCAGATAGGAACACAGAAGCGCTGAGAGGGCAAGTGATTGTCCCAGCATCACGTAGAAAACACGTGGTAGGGCTAAGAATAAAGTACTGAACTGTTATTTTAGGCCGGAGTACAGGGTATTGTACAATCACGGACAGTCCTTAGCCTAAAAAATTACCATCTAAAGACACAAGAAAGGGAAACAGGATGGAGCAAAGGATCTCCACGTTAAGGCTAGGAACCTGAGGCACAAATGGGTTATGAGACTGTGCTGGTTTTGGCTGCGATAGAGTTAATTTTCTTCATAGTAGCTAACATGGGCCTATTAAGCTGGCTTTACCTCAACCCATGAGTTTTCTCACTTTTTCTGATTCTGTCCCCCATCCCACCGAGGGGGAGTGAGCAAGCGGCTGCGTGGGGCTTTGCTGCCGGCTGGGGTTAAACCACAACAGTTCTTTTTGGCGCCCATCGTGGGGCTCGAAGGATTTGAGATAACGACAGGTTCAATTGGAATGTGCTAGATCAAATTTATAGCTGTTTAGCTATTAATTGGCAGGCTCCTGTGCTTGCCATGGGGCTCACTTGCCTCACCGTCTATGAGAGCGCAGTGCTCGTTAGTGGCTGCTTTTTGCTTTCGCTGCTTGCTGTGCTGCTGATCACCTCACTGTGCTGTGCCTGGGAACACCTGGTAACAGCAGTGGGGATGCGCCTGGGCTGGCAGGTGGCCGGGGCATCGCTGCTGCTTCTGTGCTGCTGTGCTGGACATGCTGGAACTCCAGTGTGAACTCGAGTTGAAGGGACTGTGACCTGTGGATGAGTCCACGTGG